TCAACCAATCTGTGTTCACTCTGGCCTGCAGTTGGTGCTTGGATTCATATATCTTGAACTTAAATTGCTTTGAGAATAAATCAAAGTCAATATTTCAAGACAGGGAGTCCAGGTTTCAGTGGAACAAAGAAAAAAAGCAGAAGGAAGTAAAACAGTACAAGAAGTTCTGAATGAGAAGATGGGTTAAACTCTTGGCTTGGACTTCGTTCAGAGAGAAAAATCAACAGCAAGTCTGCACTCTTGCATAGACAGTCAGTTTTGACAACTTAATCAGCTAATGTTACTTATTTCAGGTGAAGCCATTGTGTAGAGATTACAGTTTTGATGCAGAAAACAGGTATTTAGATGGCTGACTCCAATACTTGCAACTGTCACAAACACAAATGAGTGAAAAGAATAGTTAATGTTAACAGCCAGGTTTCCTACATCTATATTGTGTAAAACGTGGCAATTTGAACATGCCAAGGAAAGAGAACTGACACCATCCAAGTGATCACAAACTACTCAAAGACATAATCCTCCACTGAATTACAATACCACTGATCAATTTCCTCTAAATTAGAAAAAATACAACTAAGAAAAGCCTATTAATCTCTACATCTAAATTGGCAGCACAACCCCTGTTAAAGGTTGACTTCTGACATATTTTGTCATGGTTAGCTCCTATAAGCTCCTATATGTCTCTACACCGTGCTTATGACAGGCAGTTGTATATATATATATATATATATGTATGTATAAACATGCAACAATAATTTCCTAAAAACTAGATTGAAGAGCACACAGTCCCTCCACCCAAATCCAGACTAACCACTGATATGTTTTGGTATACCTCAGTACAAAGAGAAATACTGAAAATAAATAAATCCTGCATTTTTCAGTTTGAGTTACAGTCAAATAGACTCATCCCTGACTTTTACTTGATAGCTCACATAGTAAAAAAACCCAAACAATAAAAAATGCAATGTCAAATTTATACTTAATTCTCCTCACTTCTAGGGTTGTACCTGCTCTTAACTTCCTCTAATCAGAGCATCCCCCTACATATCTCATGTCTTGGTAGCTAATGAACTACCACAATGAGGAGGGAAACACACCCAGCTGCTCTGCACAGGGCTCCAGCTAACAGGCAAGGGCAACAAAAGTCCTGTTTTCACTCAGGGTAGGAGCTGTTGCTGCTCCTTTGAAGGCCTATCTAGAGCTCACTTTTCACTACAAAAATAATTTTTTTAAACAGATTGTCCAACTAACTTAAAAAACACAAAAGCTCCTTTATTTTCAACTTAGTTCACAAACCTTGCCTGCTGTCTGTGGTCTGAGACAGGCAAAAGGGTTTGATCCAGCAACATCAGAGCCCCAAGAGCATTATTAAGAGAAAAGAGAATTAAAGACAGCTCTCAAGTTGGACCTTTGCCTGCAGATGAGTTACACACAGGGCTCACTCCAAAGAACCAGCTTAGGACACAGAACTGTGTCATGTCTAGGGAAATAAGAAAACAGGGGCAAGCAAGAAGCAAGCAAAAGAGAAAGGAACACATGAGCAATTTGCAGCTCTATTACCCAGCTGGCTGCTAGAGAAAACACTGAGGCACTGGTAAGCAGAGAGCCATACCCTATTCCCAGATGGGGAATGAACAAATTGTACATTAGAGCTCCTTTCCTTTTATATTTCCCCTGGGAAAAGCAGCAGCCCTTTTCCAACTCCTACCCCACCGTTGCAGCAGCCCTGCAGGTGTTCAGGACTTTCAGCCATTCACCAGCAGGTGTGACTCAAGACCCTGTTATTTGAAAGTGTACAAAGGCTAATTTAAAGTGGGAGCTGTCCTTAGTAGTGTTGCAGCAACTTCAGTACCACGGATGCAATTCACCAACTCTCCACTCTTTTCATTACATCCTTAATTCCCTGTACCCTTTCCACCCTATAGGCTTAGTACAAATGTTATGAAGCTTCAGTCCACTTGCAGAGCCCAGGACTTTTGTGCAGTACCAGCACCCATCTACTCTGAGCAAATATGCACCTTCTGTCTCTGTGCCCTTCCTCCTCAGCATTTTTTTCACCTCCCATGGCTTTTCTGCGTGTAGAAGTCTATTGCTTTCAGCTGACACTGAGTTGCTCTCATACTTGACTTTATTCTATTTAGGTTCAAGCAACCTAACCATGAGAAACAGGACACAGTATTGGGCTGGAAGACATGGAGAAACCTCAGGTCAAATTTTCTAGTATGAGCCCTGTAATGGACTCCAAGAGAAAAATGCCTGTCTAAATAGGATGCAAATACAGCCCCAAGGGATGGGGCTATGAAAGCATCATATTTCTTTTACACAGACAGTGTCATTCAGCAACATTCTGATGCTCAGGTAAACTGAACTGGAAGAGGAGCCTCCATGTATCCCTCAGTAGCATGGCCCAGCTCACTATTATATTCCTCTAGGGTACACAGACTGTTTGTATTCTAGTACCAAATCAGTTTAAAAAGAAACAGGGGATGTCCCAAAATATTCTCATGCTATTTCACACGGAAAACCAGGTGAGTAAAGTGATTAAACACATCACCTTTAGGTTTACTGGAGCTGTCCTTAATACACCCCAGGCAGCAGTTTTCCTAATGATTCTCATTAGCAAATTATCTTCCCAAAGAGAGAATGCCTGGGGCAGCAGAAGACCTGTGCTGTCCCATTCCACCCCAGACACCATTTGCAACTGCATGTGCATAGGCAACCTTATGCAACAGCAAATTTTCACCTGCCAGGATGCAGCAAACACATTTCAGATGAGGCAAATGCCAAGTGTCTTTATGTATAGGCTGAATGTGGTGGCTGACATAAACTTTCATAGACATGCAGAATGTTTGAGGGAAGGGAGCAAGAATCACTTGTGACACAGATTCATGCTTTGGTGATGATTTCAGTGTGTGTGCACTATAATTAAGGATTAAATTTGTAAAATTTTACAAGACAGCCTGTGACAGTAGAAGGGATTGTACTGCTAAATTCATTTAAGTTCCCTTTTATTTTCCCTCCTTCCTCTTCCAACTTCCCTTCCTCTACCTCTTATATGTTTATTTTCTTCCAATCTTCTTTTTTTCCTGCCCTCTCCTCTCCTTCTTCTCCCCCCCCCAACTTCTCTCATGTCTTTCTGCTCATCCTTCAGCCCCTTCTCTCACATCCGAAACAGCAGTGTTGCTATAACTAGCAACACTTACGTTTGATACCTGACAACAACTAGCAAAGGAAAACAATGAAGCAGGAAGAGCGGCTATTTCAAATATCTCTATCAGCAGATGCTTTAGCCAGAAGACATGGCAAAAAATAGGATTGCCTTAGGAAAGTGAGCAAGTGCCATCTGGGAGGAAGGGAAGGAAAGCTAAGAGATTTAAAGTTGTAGGATCACACTGTCTGAAGTTCAAAGACCACAGTGGATTTACTTCCCATACATTTCAAATACCAAGTGACAGATTTGCAGCATTTTATCATTCATACTTTTAATTCATACTTAATTTATCATTCATATCATTAGACCCTTAGAAGGGTCTAATATGATTACATGTGGCACATGAATCTGGTTGCAGCAGGTGTTAAGATACGTATGACAGGCATTTCTTCACAGGTTACTGTACTGGGCTTTAATTTTTATTTTAGACATAAGCATGCATGCAATTATTATTATGAAATTATATATGTGAAACTTCTACAGCATAGTATTGCAGTGAAAGCCAGATACACTAAAAAATCACCTTCCTAAGTATCCCTGAAACCTCTAAGTTAGCAATATTACTATATTATCCCTGTGAAAAGTCAAACTTCAACTGGAAAGTGAACTATCTTTTCATACATCATGGGCATCAGAACTGCTCCTTTACTGAACATATGTAGACAGAAATTAGTTAAAAGTTGAAAAAAAAAAATTGTGATAGTTAAGGACACTCAGGCAAAAGGCAGCTGTGGTTAGAATCTGGCCTATCAAATTATCACAGACATCCGACTCCTTCCTTTGTTTGCAGAGCAACCCAGCTGAAGATCCAACCCATCACCATGTCCTATCAGCCACTATGCACCACCATTCTCACCTAAATACAGCTAGCAAATGACCATGGTGCATGAAGTGCAAAGCATCCAGGTTAGCCATCAAATCCCATGTATTTAGTGTTCAAGAGAAATATAAAAAGCATTTCTGATTTGGCACATATGATCAGGAAATTCCCAAGTAGCAAGTACAGAATTACAATGTGCTGTTTCTCATGGCAATAGAATAGACCTTCACTTTGGGTGTTATGCATACATGTGTCACTCATGAGCCATTGTCACAGCCTGTAGTAGACAGGCTATTTGTGAGCTCCATAATCCAGAAAAGTTCATTCCAAACCAGATTAATTTAACTCACTATATAACAAGGGTTGAATCCAAAGACTACACACCCATGTACCTTCAATGTCAAGTCAGTTTTATCTCTGACCAAAAGGTAGCTTTGTGTTGTAATAAAGAAACAATTAACATTCAAATGTGCAATGCTGTTTGCTGTTTTCTCATCTTTTGCCTCTATTTCTCCATAGGAATTCATTGTTTCCATCCTTTCTTCTGAATATCACATTCCAGTTCCTATCCTCTAAATAACCAGCTTCTATGACACTACTCTCCCTCCTCGTAAAAACAACTTTCTTAGCTTTCTGGGCTGCCTCAGAAAGGTTTGAGTTTCATTTCCTTTTATTCCTATGCATGGTCGCACTACAGATACATGAATATCTATGTTATATGTATAGAAACAGTAATGCTACTTAAGATACAGTTATCTAAACACTCACCTAAGTTGCTAAGCAACAAATAAATTACCCTGAAAAAAAAAACAAACTAATTTCTTCTTCTTCATGCTGAGATATAGTGAACATGTATTTCAAATTACCAAATGAAACACACTATGAAGAAAAGCGAATTCTAAATGAAAGCACAGAATGGGAAAAAAGACAAGGCAATGCCACATTTTCTGTACAAAATGAGAGCCTTACCATCCTGCTGGCCCTGGAGGTTCTGAGGACTTTGCATTCTCTCCTCCAGGTTTGAGCTGAGGTCAGAGTTTACAGCTGACATTCTAGTTGAGTCGCTCATATCAAACTCATCACTTTCTATAGAACTTTCATCCTGCAAGTAGAAAGAGACATCAAAACATGGGGCACTGTTCACATTATATGTGCAGTTCATTCTCTTCCCTTTTGTCTCACTCACACCCAGTGTGGAGTGTAATTATGCAAAACATTTTTGTATATAAGAAAACAAGCAGAGGACATCAAGAAGAGGGAGGAAAATACAGCATTTATTTGGTATGATAATCTGACAAATGCAATTTGTTCTACTATGAGGATACTACATAATAATTCCATAGTATCTTTCAGAAAAGAATTGGTAGATACCCCATACCAAGCCCTTGTTATTCAAATTTGGCTGAGGAGACCTCCCTATACTCCCTGCCTGAATCCTTTACCTTTCCCACATGGAAGTCAGTAACCCTGTGAATGACCCCTATGCTGGTTTGGGCTGGGATAGTTACTTTTCTTCCTAATAGCTGGTACAGTGCTTGAATTTAGTGTGGGAATAATGTTGATAACACACTGATGTTTTGGTGGTTGCTAAGTAGTGCTTATTCTAAATCAAGGACTTTTCAGGTCTCATGCTCTGCCAGTGAACAGGTGCACAAGCAGCCAGAAGGAAGCATGGCCAGGACAGCTGACCTGAACTGGCCAAAGGGATATTCCATACCAGAGAGCATAATTCCCAGTACATAAACTGGGAGAAGTTGACCAGAGGGAGATTGGCTAGGCATCATTCAGTGAGTGGTAAGGAATTTTATTTGGTATCACATGTCTTTATTCCTCCTTCTCTCTCTCTCCTTTCATTACAATTAGTAGTAGCAGAAGTGGAAGTAGAAGTAGTACATTTTACTTTGTTTAAGTTATTAAACTCTTCTCATCTCAACCCGTGGGTTTTTACTTTTTTTTTTCTGATTTTCTCCCCCATCCCACCAGAGTGGGTAGAGGAGTGAGCAAGCCACTATATGGTTCTTAGTTGCTGGCTGGGGTTAAACCACAAAGACTCACAGGAAGATATTTTCAAATGGCAACCTGACCTGGTAAAAATCCATGGTCAAATTCCCTTGACATGGTCAAATTCCCTTGTCAAACTTACACTCTGTTTAAAGAAGCATCTAGGAAAATGAGAAAGCCTATAAAAGTCCTGAGCATGGTCATGACAGTCAGTGGCAAATAAAGATAATATAATCACAGGAGAATCATTGCATATTTATTCTATGTTGTACATCTTTAATATGATTTATCCATCAAGTCCTGTTACAGAGCATTTAACAGGGATGATAAGAAGAGCAAAAAGTAAAAGTCCTGATCATTATCCTCATTTATAAAAGAAAACAGTTTTAGACATAGTCCAGAAAATATTCCAATACATATTTGACTTCAGTTGCTTCAGTTCCACTGAAGTTCACACATGCACTCATGGATTAGAAATTAAGTATCCACAAGTCTTGCTCTGGAAATGGCTGAGGCAATGTACAAACCTGAGTCAATATATTTTTAGTAACAAATTTTCTGAGATGGTTACTTCTGTTAAGAAGAAAAGTACTTGAAATATGTGAGAGGAAAATATGGCAAGTAGATTTGTAAATGAAAATGCCCTGAAAATGTTTGAAATACTTTTCCAATTCATTTTTATTTACATTTTTTTAATCAAAACAGGACAAGACAGAATTCTGACTATTTTTATGGGTTGTTCACCAGAACTGACCTAGAAAAATAGAAATCTCTAGAATATTATTTACTGTGTACTTGTTGTGAAGTGGATATTACATGTATTAATATAGCTGCTTGCTTCTTTCTGAGTGTTAACTCTTAAATCAGTTCCTCCCCTGGGTCTCAGCAATGCTTCCAGTTTGTATGGACATTTCTCTTGTTTCCAGAAAGAAGTTCCCTGCAGTAATGACTCATGTTAAATTAGGATGAAGCACTGCAAATGCCAGTCAGGAGCAAGAGTGGGACAACACACAAGGTGAAGCTGTTCTGCACTGCCACAGCAGGACAATGACAAATAAGGAAATAAATATACCTTGTTCTCAGGGATTTGTAGAAAAAAACAAAGGGAAGAGTGAGGGCTTCTCTAACAGGCACCTGTCTGTCTTGCCTAACACAAGGTAGGAGCACCACAGTTACAGCAGCAGCAGCAAACACCCAAACACTGCCCTCACAGACGAACCCTGGTGCCCACCAGCCTCCTGCTCCAGACAGACGGGGCCAGGGCACACACCAGATGGGTCTGAGGTTTAGGGAAAATGCACTCTGCTTGTCCAAAGAGCGAGATAAGAAAACAAACTCCCCCAGACCTTCTGGATGCTGTGTCTCTGTTAAAATGCAGGGGTAATTCTCAGTGAACCCTGCAGGCACCAGCAAGCAGCAGATCACATATTGCAGCTCTGAGGTTAGGCAATTTGATGGACTCACAGAAAGGGGGCTCTGGCTGACACTTGCACAGTTATAAAACAGCACACATAGGCAGCGTCTTTGCCTACAGCACTGCAGAATACCTCCACTTCACTTCCCAAACTGTGTACACCTCTATCTGTGTAAACTATAAACTATATAAACACCTCTATCTGTCCGAATCTGCATGGACACATGGGCATGGGAACAAAAACTGAGAACCACTGGCATCTTTATAGCAGTTGCAGCACTGCTCTAAATTCCCACACAGTGGTGAGTTCTCCTTTTAGATGAAACCTGTTTCCCTCTCATCAATGGTCTCAGCTTAAAAATTTGGAATTGAAGATAAGAGAATTAGGAGATTTTCTGTCATTGTGGTAGCTAGCAGTGGGATCCAAGTTTACTCCTGTCTCAATTCCACACAAGAATACAGATATCATTGATTAAATCTTTCCTACAAACCCAAGCCTGTTTTTAAGTGCATTAAATAGTTTGAACCAGATGTCTTGCTCCTTTGTATTACAACATTTTCCCTGTAATTTTGTTCTCAGGGCCAACAAATGTACAGCCTGGGGAAAAAGAAAACCTTGGCAAATCCATGATTTCAGAAAAGACATAAGGATTATTTTGAGAACTTTCCTTGTGCCCACTGTCCTGAAAAGTTATTATTACTAAAACATACAAAAAATTACTTTCATAAATCCAAAACTTTCCTTGTGCCCACTCTACTCTAAAAATTTATTACTACTAAAACATAGAAGAAATTACTTTCATAAATCTACTGCTGCAGGCATTTCATATACAGTAACAACAGAGCGACAAAACCAAGCTGGGCAGGGAAATACCAAGCAAAGCTAAGTCCTGCTTCCTCCATATCATTGCCACTGGCTTGTCTAGATAAAAAACTGGTTTAACAAAAATTTCAGTCATAGACCAGAAAGACTACACCAAAACATTCAGGCTGCAGAAGATCTGTGGCATGGGGTCCTGATCCAGCATGAGTGCTTGACCCTGTTGTGGAAGTAGTAATTCTCAAAGGGAAAAGGTGTATAAACCAAGGAGTACTTTAATTCCTAAGGCTACTACAGAATAAATCCTCTTCTCTCCTGCTAGTTGAAACCCTACTTCTAGATCCCTCAAATAATCAGGAAGCTCAATAGAAGGAAAAGATGACCAGGCTGTATTTACGCATTAAGAACTTTGTGTTTGGTATCTCTCCCTACACCCTCTGCAATTATAAAAAGGGGCCAAACTGAAACAAGGATCCTGATATTTCTAGAAGAGTGGTGAAATCCCCATTCCAGGGAGTGCTGAATAATTCATGAAATCTCCAGCAACAGCCCATACCTACTTATGGGAAAACAAATCTGGCTGACTCTGCACAAGTCAGAAGTCAGTCAGGGTCTTGACATAATCCAGCAGCTAAGGTTGTTTTTGAAGGCTTTCTTTATTAAAAAATATCTTGTAGTTGGACAGGAAGACATAAAATGCAGAACTGTTTTTTTGCTGGCACATAGCTGAGTTTCTATTTGGCAGCTTAAATGTTAAATGAACTTCTAGCAAAATGAGGTTACTACAAATAATTTGGTATGGGCCTGTGAATTGATGGAGCACTTCTTAAGATCTGGGAAAACTGAATAAATCAGAGACAGCAAACAACCTTTGAGAAGAAATAAATACAATCCAATCCCAATTCTTTATGAAGGAGCTTGATTCTCAGTCTACTTCTCCTTTTTTATGCCTTTTTATTCAAAATTTCAAAAGCAACTCCTACTCTTATCATTAAGCTTTTTGCCTTAAAGTTTTCAGCTGATGTTGCCAGGACTTTCATCACTGTCAGTACCATGTGTTGCACTGTGTTTGCTAGCCTTGAGAACATCATGGCAGTCATTTCAGCTGTTCATGGTATTGGTTTCTAAAAGCAGACAGTGGAAGTCATTGCTGGGCACAGAAATAAGTCTTGAGTGCACATGCTGCCCACATCACCTTTTCCACTGGTCCAGTGAAAGAGCACCTTCAGGCAATTCAAAGTACACTCACTACCCCCAATAACAGAAGGGCCATAAGTCATATTTTCTCTCAACCTGATTGCTTGAAAACAGCCCTGCCTTGGCTTCAGACTGACTGTTTCAGCAACAAAATTATAAAGATGGCATCAACAATCATCTTCACTTCAGTTTCCTAGCCACCTGAAAGACAAGTACAAAACAATGCAGGAAAACAGAAAACCAAACTTAAAAGATTTCAGGTTTTACCTCATCTTGCTGTGAATTTAGTAGCTGTAGCTTCATGTGTTTCATATAAGCCATAGTAATGGGCATGTTGTAATCAATCATACTGGTCACCAATGTTGGAGGTTTTCCATTATCTGCAAAAAAAAATAGTTATTAAGCAATATATTTTAACTGTGGAGGCTATGTCAGCCTATTTTGCAGTCAAAGTCAGACTGTTATGTTATTTAGCTCTAACTTTTGCATTTGCAATTGCTTGTAGGCTGTACAAATGGAAGTCCCCCAAAGAAAAAGGAAAACCACGATCAAATCCTGAAAATTGATGAGCTCTTCTACCCTAAATGACTACAGCCCATATACCCTATCTATTCCTTACGCTTAAGCTCCCATACAAATATTTCCATAGCAAAATAAATTATTTCCTCCAGATAAAATCATCTTTCTATTGAGGCTGCAGATGGCATTACACTCCATCCTTAAGTGAAAGCAGAAGATTCACTACCTTCCAGCTTAAGTAAATGAGATGATCTGACTTACTGAACTGTTACAAGCCTACCAAATTTATATGAACCCTCACTTAAGCTAGGAACCTATAAATGGGTATTAGAAATAAAATTACTTTACATCCCACTATTTGACACTAAAACTACCTTTATGATCCGCTCCATCTGGGTTTAAATGCATTCTTTTCTGGCACTCTGAGCAGCTCATTAGAAATCGTGTCACCGCTTCTCTCGGTAGGAAGGCATAGGTCTCTGAAATCTGAAATTAATAACAAAATATAGGTGTTATTATGTAAGCTGATTGAGCATGATTTAACAGACCTGATCATCACATTTCCAAATAAGGCACATTATCTTTTAATGCCAGGAAGCACAATGAAAGCATGTTCTGCATACTATGTAGGATTTCAAGAAGCATCTCTCCAATCTGCCTACTTAGCATCTAATAGCTACTAACAGCTGGTACTGAACAAAATTCCACTTGTATAAAAAGGAGGCTTGTTTTCTGTTTACAGTTAATTTCAAATTCCTTTCAACAAAAAGTTTCATACATAACAGCTATCCCACTGTGGAATGGCATCAAAAAAACTTAAGAGAGACCTTTTTTTTTAATAGCCAATGCCAAAAAAAGAAAGCACTTGTCTTATGCATTCTATTTATTTTTGTTGCAACAATACATAGTCAGATATGTATTAGCAGCAAAGAAGGTTGCCTTACTATTTTAACTTTGTACTTGAATGTTTTGTGAAAATATTTTTCTAAAGCTTGTGGTTTTGTACTTTGGAGTACCTACGTTATTTTTACTAATAGTTAAAGAATTTGTGAACCAGTTGATTTTAGAGACTCTGCTTTACCTGGCAATATTTTGAAACAACAGATTTTAGTTCTTTCTCAGTTTCAACAAAAACATTGTTTCTAACCACATACTCACAACCACATACTCACAACATTGTTTCTAACCACATACCACTAGGCACCAGAGGGACTTTTTTCTCTTTTGAGAGGGAGAGGAGGAAGCAGTTGTTACTGGTTTTAAAGATTGCATTCCCCCCACTGCAAAGGATGCATCTGTCTTTAGACATTTTGCCTTGCTGAAAAGGACTGGGAGGTTGGTGCCAAGCTGAAAATGAGCTAACAGAATACTCTCTAATCACAGACAAACTACATTTCATACTGGCTACTTTAAGTGTAGAGCCAACAGATCAAGAAAAGTTACTACCCCTCTCTACTCAGTGCTGGCAAGAAAACAGCTGGAATAATGTGCCCAGGTTTCCCCTCAAAGTTCACAGTTCTCCTCCACACTTCAAGAAGGCTGCTAAGAAGCAGAAGATGGCTCTGAGCCAGGCCATCATAGCAGCTGGAACCTAAAGGAAACCTTGAAGGAAAGGCTGAGGGAGATAGATTCCTTTCATGTAGGTTATGAGGCCAAGAAAGATCTCATTTTAGCCCACTGCTGCCTGAAAGGGAGTTAAAAATCTGTAGAGAAAAAATCTTTATTGTGTATAACCAGGGAAAACAGCAGCAGTGTCTTGGGACATTCAAACCAGACATCAGCAGAACTGTTACACTCCAGTGCACTGGAGCAGCTTTATCAGATAGGTGGAGTTTGATGAAAGCCTCCAAACTTGGATGTATTCAAGCTAATAAAAGGCAAATGCATGGCTTTTCTGCGATTCCCTGTATAAGTTGATGTATATACACTGAACAGTGCAAGTGCTGCAATGAATCTCTAGCCTCTTTTTTCCCAACTATGGTGACTATCTTACTGTGGAGAGATAATCCTTAATGAAAGACCAAGGCCCAGAAAGAGAGATTAAGAGAGTGAGTTGTTAGTCTGTTTGTACTCCCTTACTGCAAAACCTACAGCAGGATTTGATTTCCAATCAAGCTCTATGCTGAGATGCAAGTCTCAGTAGGAAGTGAAGAATTAAGATGGTGCATATGAAAGTGTGGCTATAGAAAGGACAAGATCACTATTTAACTAGAATTAAATGGGATTACATATTGTCCAAATCACTTCTGCCCCTCAAAAGGGAGCTAAGAGAGGGAAGAATGGTCAGTTTTAACTTTCTTACACTTTTCCTCTTGGCTTGTCACCTACTTAACCTATGTTGAATCTTACATTTCCTAAAACTCCATGGACCAAATTTATCAGAGGCAGTATTTTTGAAAATAGAGTTTAAATTAGTGTTTGTTGATGTGATGTGTGTCATATCAATACACAGAAATGATGCATTATAAAATGGGAATGCAAAACATACCATCATGTCTATAACATTGGTTTTTAGGCTGTTTAGTGTTGTTGTTTTCTTATATAATGGAAATCTTATTGGGGAGGGAGAAGAGAATTAGTATAAAAGCAAATATTGTTCTGTGATGAAGATTGGCAAAGATTTTTTCTGGGCCTGAAACACCTTTTCTGAAAATTAAGGCACTAAATGAAGACATTTTCGAATGGGAGGTCCTACTAAAGATATATTTTTAGATTATTTTTTCCTGCTTTTTATACCACAGAACAGATGCTTTTTTACCTTTCTAAACATGAAAACATGGTTATACTCATGCTTTATGGAAACTAAAAAAAGAACATAAAACCCACTAGAATTCAGTATTGAAAAAAACTGGAAAGTGCACATACACAGCAACCTCTCTCTTACAACATTTAACATGTTTAGCACTGTATTGAAATTAATGGAGCTTACCAATGGATTCATTAGTCCCCTGCATTTGATAGGAACACTCCATTTATTCTAATCAAGCATCTCTGTCAAAATTCCAGTTCTGCTGAAACAAGATGAAATTCCTCCATGGAGAGAAACTGAGCTAAGGCCCAGATTTGATAGGTCTGCTCCACTGACTATAAGGGAACCGGGTTTTATAACTAAATTTGTCCATAGAGCAGATGCTCGTGTCTCCAACCTCCCACTGCAACACAGTTTTAAGGATGCCCTTCCCTAAATAACTCCAGATTTCACCAACTTCCTCCCCTGTTTATTTTATAATTTGAATCAATCACTGACATTCCTAGACTTCAGTCTGTATAAATTGATATAACACAATAGGAATCACAATAGGAATTAAAAGAGATACATAAGAACCATAACCCACAACATTCCTTATTCTTGTTGCCTGAATATATAGAAAAGAAAGGTGTCCAACTTTCACTGCCAGGAAGCTGATGAATTGTCTCCCCCCAGCTGCACAATTTCACACCCCCAGCAGTGCAGACCCTTGTTTGCCTTTCATGTCTACTTCGTAAAATGCAGATAGCCACTTGCTTGCTCTGGCCAAGCTCTGAACCAGCTGTAGCTGACAAATGCTCAACCAAATTAGCACAAGGCTGAACATAAAATCCTATATTTCAGCTCTCAGTAGAGTTTACCAGGTTGTGCACAAGACTGGACTGATGTAATTCATGGAGCTGGGTTGCATGTGAGTGTTTCAGAGAACAATGTGGAGGCCTATGACACCTCCTAAGCAATTATACAGAAATACCTGAATGTTCTGATTTCATCAGGAAAAATTGTTTCTGCCCTTTATCCAAAAGAAGGAAGCAATGACTCAGTCCTTGCTGATGCTGTATCCTCTCACTACCTTCAGTGGTCCAGCTCCTAGCCCTCTTCTCAAGGCTATTAGCTAATAAAATATATAGCCAGACCATCTTTTTCAGTGATGTGTTATAAAAAAAGAATATTGGTTTATTGTAAATCCATACCAAAAAAAAAAAAAAAAAAAAAAAAAAAAAAAAAGTGGGAGATATTGCCTTATTTACATTCATACTCTGACAAATCAAACTGGCATATTTTTGGCATGACTTACAAGAAATTTCTAATGCACATGCCCATTCCCATCAAAGACCAATGAGTGCTGATTTACCATATTGATAAAATTACTTGGATTGATTTTAAAAAAATATTATAAGTAAAATTTTCCCAAATATATAAATTCTAGAAATATCTTTATGGGATTCCTTACTCATACTTGTGTTTTTATTGTGCATAAGTATATCTTCTGCTGCTTGTAGAGCTGTGTTATCTCATAACTGGATGTATTCTGTATCTTGGAGAAATCAGAAAAACAGCAGATTCTAGCAGGTTTGTGTTTAGTTATTGTGTACTAGGTATAGCTATTATAGCTATATGCTTTTTTACATTGTAAAGGTATATGAAGAAGAAATAGAACTTCCAGAGTATTAAGCAAAAATGGCAAAAATTACACAGGGTTTGTTTTAGCCTCAGAAATTATAAGATAAGAAGCAAGCGTTTCCTAACAGTACAGTCCATGCACACCTACATATATTTGGTTTTAACTCTGAATTGAGAGGAAAATGAGTTGACGTCAGAGGCTCCAGAGTCAAAGCTTTTATGATCTTACTTCACCATTAACAAAAAGGTTTTGGTATATTTTGACATATATGACTGCATCCAAAGCATCATGCAGCAGTGAAGGCCTATCCAGGCTTGTTTACTGGACCACATGAAGAGCACAACTAGCACAGGCAAGTAATCCACTACCTGAGCATGTAATCTGATTTACATTGGAGTTAAGCAATGAATGTCCTAATTGTCTGTGAGAAGACTATTTCATTCTTACTGCATCACTACAAGCAGAGAAAACAAGCTAAGCTTCCTTTTTGCTCTCCCATACTCAGATGATTTAAGTGCAGGATGTTGTGATGATGTAGCTTTCAGAGCTAAATTTTTGCTTGGAAAATTAACAAGTCCTAAACTGAAAGGCAGATTTTAGGACACATATGGCAGAGTAGGAAAGACAAGTGTGAGGAGAGGGAGTGAAATTTTGCAAGTGAACCTATTAACCTCTAAAGAATTAACATGGAGGGTGTATGTGTAGTCTGGAAGATACAATGTGTCAGAATAGAGATTTTGCATGTGTGTTTGTATTTTTTTTTTTAATTAAGGAGGGTAAAGGGGGGAAAGATGATCAAAAGAAGACTCCAGGAGGAAGGAAAGAGAGAGAAAGATAGGGATAGAGTGAAGTTGTCCTGGGCCCACAGCCATCAAACCAGGTGGCAGAAATTGGTTTCTTGATGACGGGAGGACAAGCCAGCCAAGGGAAGTCCTCTCCTTTCCTCAGCAAGAGGTCAGAATAGAGGGCTGACATAGGAAATCAGATCTAGCACTGCTGGGAGTTTTAGCAAGAGCTCGCTACCCTGCTACACTGTGGGAAATGCTGTTCCCTCATGTGCTAAACTTGCACTTCACAGCTCCCTTCCCTTCTCTCCCCATGTAGCAAAAACTG